AAATTCGACCAATCCGCACTGTTATTCTATTATATAATAGACACGGTAAGGGCACGAGTTCTTGCCTAAGCTATTTTTATATTTCGTATGTAAGTAGAATTTCGAGACTTCCAATAAATTAGTAATATGAGATTTATTCAGCTTATTTCGTTTGAGGTGATGAAGGACTGGCAGTAGGGTAAATACATCTCACATTACTGATTTATCAGAAGTCTTGAAACTCTACTTGCATACGAAAAAGAAGTAACGTAGTCGATTGTTATTGCAAATATACGTTTGCTTCATCGATAATCTTACCAAAGAATATGATATGGCAAAAGGCCTGGCCTTCCTTGAAATTCATATCTGCCCTGTGACCTAAGGGCACTCGTGGCAATGTGGACCAATGGTTAATGTGTCAAGCTCACATTATGCACTGTTACGGTTCTACTCCCGCTGGGGGTGTTGTTAAGGTCTATGAGAGGTCGAAACTGCAGTCCGTCCTGGATGACAACAACTTTTGGGAAAGCAAGGCTTTTTGAAATTCAATGGAAATATTAGTTTTACTCATATCATTGTGGGAATATTCTACTACCAGTCGTACATCACCTTAAACGAAATAGAGTGAATAAATCTCATATAAACTATGCCTCACTAAGTGCTCTTTTTAATTCAATGAATTACGAGTTTCTGCTCAGACATAGCGTCTTGCTTCGACTCTATAAACCTTGGCATGGATTTGTTGGGTTTAGGGGACAAAAATGTGAAACTGTTTTCTTCAGATCGACAGTCTAAGTGAACACATTCTCAGCAGCTTCAGGGAAAGGATTTCTTCTTTTTGATGGAATCATTATATAAATCTTCTTTTCCGAGTTTTACCCTAAATATGTTGTGCTAACTAATAATCTTTCCAAATAAATTCTTTCTTTTTGTCCTTTCGGCTGTTTTTCAGAGCCTACTTTCGAAGATAAGCGAAAACATAACTTTCTTCAGGGTCAAGTGGAGCTTGAGCGTCGGAAGCAAGAGCTAGCCGAGAAGATGAGACGTGAAGAAGAGGCTCGGGAAATGAAAGAACGAGAAGAATGGGAGAGACAGGATCAAATTAGGTGCATCATTTACTCACTTTATTCTTCTTTCTTTTTAACCTCATCTATCTGCGAAGATTAGTTTATTATTTAAGGCATTTATTACTATACTTATATTTAGTTCATTATGTGCTTCATATTTGGCATACTCTGTCTGATTTTCTATATTATCCATTTTCTTCACCTTTTTTAAGGCAAGAAAAGGAGCGCGAACGTCAACTTGAGGCTGAGCGTCAGGTCCAGCGACAGCGTCAAATTGAGGCTCAGCGAGCCGCCAAGCGTCAATCCGCCGTAGAAGCTCGCCTCCAGGCTTTTAAGGAGGCTGAGCACCAACGCTATGTGCAGTTGGAACGCCAACGAGTCGAACATCTCCAAAAGGAGAAGGCTAGGGAGCAGGCACTATTAGAGCAGGTGAATTAATAATTTGGCGTATTGTGTTCGAAATATCAAGTATAAACTCTCATTCTTATCCCAATTTTAAAAGTAACTTTTAAGAACATTTGAATCATCCTTCCTGCAATTTTAGATTTCCTAATTTTGAGAATCTTGCTTTCTCTTGTGGGCTATAATTTAATTTTAGCTATTCCGTTTCACTTTCCTTTCTGCTTTGATTTTACTCTTTTGGCAGAGTAAAGCACATCGAGCAAGTCTTCTTGAAAATGCTTCAGGTCTGGCATCCAGGAGTGCAGATCATGAGTCGCAGCTGACTCAAGCCCAGGCCGAGGTTGATCGGATTAAAATGGCCATAGGAGAATTGCGTAGCCACCGAGACGCATATGATTTAGAGCTACGAGAGCTAACCGAACAAGTGGAGGCAGCCAAAGCCGAGCTGATGCGTTGGCAACGTGAGAAAGAGCAACTGAGCCTGCGTGTCTTCACAGGTGTCGATGTCAACCAGGCGACGGAGCAGCTTAAGACTTTAGCTGCCAACAAGGAGGTATGCTTTTATCTCAGTACGTCATAATCGATACATAAAAGAAACCTTAACTATCACCAACTTAGTTGTATATCTATAGACATTGATTCTCCTATTTTGCAGATATACTAATTATATAGCTTCGATTAGGGTGGCTAATACTGCTTAACATGACTACTAAATTGAGTATGAAATATGTTTAGGGTAAAATGGGGATTATAATTAGACAATTAGATTTTATTTCGATAAGTTCTAAAGTCAAAAATTACTGAGATGAATTTTGTAGCCTCTTTCATTTTTATTTGCAGCATACTACAGCATACTACTAAATTATTAAATCGTAAATATTAAGATCAAGATGATTTGATATTCTGTTTGGTCGCAGTTTCCTTTTGCTTTAAAGTGTTGGTTCAAATAGCTAGGTAGACCTAGTCTTTTGTCCTCTGTCATACTATTTGTAATTTCCAGCATTTTATTATTTATTCTGATTGTCACAAGTGTTTTCTCTGCTGATTCTCGATTTGAATACTAAAATCCTCGTTAAAAGATGTTTTGAAGTTGGAATTTCTTCTTTACTTGACTCTACGAGCTATAATGGTATTATTCCTTGTGAA